AAAACATGTCTCTTACTGAAAAATCAAATAAGCCATCTTTTAAACAGAAGAAAAGCTATTTTATGTTGCACATTAAATATCACAGCGCATATAGTCGTTACTCCCTATATTTATTTTGCCCTGTCGGGAAGTTTTACAGGGATGGAGAGCGAGAAATAAATGAGAGAGACTCCCCCAATGCTAGTATTTTCAGACCCATGCGTTCACTAACAAGCAAAAATTGTCACGGAAGAACTCTAGAGTGGGAAACTTGTCAATTCACGCCACATCCATCTTTTTTCGAGACCTGTGCCCTTTTGAAATATATCGTACTTAAGAAGTACAGTAGAAGTGACGTTGTTTATTATTTATCATTTCTTTTACTTCCTCATCCTTAACTTATTCTTTATACGAGGGTGGTCTCAAAAGTTCGTAGGCTGACTAAGATACTCTCATGGAATGTGATTAAACGAGGTTTATGTTTCAAAGTAGTCTCCCTTGCGGTTCACACACTACTTCCATCGATGTTGCAGTGTATGCATCCCATTGGCGAAGAAGAAGAAGCTTTCATCCTGTTGATCAAAAAGTCATCAACTAAAGATATGACGTAATCACCACTACGATACTAGTCCCCAGTCAAGTGATTTTTTTTGTTTTTTGTTTTTTTTTCCTGTTAGGTAATAGACGATAGTCATATGGGGGCCAAATCAGCAGAATATTGAGGTTTCTCAACCAGTTCAAAGCCACAGTCAGGCCCAGCAGCCATTGAAACTAAGGACTTAAGTGTTGGAATAATTTTCTAGTGAGACAAGTCGTCTTTGGTCCGTTTTGCTTGGCGTTTGGTCTTGATAGCCCTTCGTCATGGCCTCAAAATACAAGATTTCACAGCTCGAGTAACACCCGATTGATAGTCAGCTCATGAACCTTTCAGCCCACCCCCGTATCTAAAAAGAAACAATGCAGTTGTTAATAAGAACAGTTGAAATTAATGCATAGAAGATTTCACAATGTCTAGCTTAACTAAGTCATAGTCAGCCGATCAATTTTTCAGCCCCCCTCAGTGCAGTTATTGAGAGATACAATTAATGTATGCAAGATTTCTCAGCTGTAGCATCATCCCTTCATAGCCATAACTTTTGAGTCCTCACTCGTACCTGGAAAGAAACAATGCAGTTTTTAACAAGAATTGAAATTATACATACAAGATTTCACAGTTTTAGCATCATTCTTTCATACTAAGCCTATAAACGTTTCATCCCACCCTTGTACCTGGAAAGAAAAAAAATTTTTTTTTTTTTTAATAAGAACAGTTGAAAATAAAGCTCGCAAGATTAAAAAACTCCAACATCATTCCTCTGTAGTCAGCCTATAAACTTTTCAGTCTCTCCATGTATTTTATTTTTCTTACGATCAAACGTTATTCTAGTTGAATTGCTCTTAATTTTAAAACTACGTCCCTTATTAATGTTTAAATAAGCAAGTCTTATGATTTCTCCTACGATTCAGATATTAGTCAAAATTGTAGATTATTCAAATACTTTAATTCAATCTGACCTCCTTAATTAAGAGAATTATTTAGCGGCGTCATGTAAGGGACAGTGAAGAAAGAAGCAGGAAGTGCCTATTATGAGTATATGTAGGATATTTAATGTTTAATCTCAGACTTGAAGATGGAAAAATCGTTGTGGTTATGGAAGTATCCTTTCGGGAGTCTGTTACGCGAAGTAACAGTTATCAGTAAGAAGCTATGTGTACCTTACTCTTTACCAAAGTACTAGCAAGTGAATGGGGATATATCTGCTACCGTGAGCATGTCATAGCTGATCCTAGTTATGTAATCAAAGATTGTATAATCGCTTTTGAACTCTGTGAAATTTAGGCAGCATAAACTTGACATCACCTGCCCAAATTCTCCATTTTTGGTCGGATCTGACTCTTACGAAAACATAGCGTGGTAGCGGAAGGAAGACATCTTTAACGATTGCCCGAATGCATGAGTTCCATTTGAAGTCTGGAGTGAGCTTTAGATCTAATAGGCGTTTGAAATACAGGCGTTTACAAAACAGCAATGAAAATTTGGAAAAAATGGCTTTGTATTGATCAATTCACGCCATTTAACGAAAGACCCATTGGCCCAAAATTGACTTCTTCAAATCACAATCTCCTTGTGATTTAAATTGAATTCTTCAGATCACAAACTCTGTGGAACTTCAAAACCTAACGTCAATAATCCTCTCACTTTATCTCTGATTCCTTGGACTTTTGAAAAAATAAAACTGCTCTCCTGAATTCACAAAGTTTTCGAAATATTTTAAACTGAATTTAAAACACATTTTAAATTCACAGAGTCTTTGTGTTACTTTAAACTCAATATAACGTATTTAAAATATAAATTCACTAATATTTTTTTCAATTATTTTAAAATTTGAATTATTAACTGTCGCTGCCTTACCCGGAAACACGTCCCAATGTTGGATGTTCAAGTACCAGATGAAAAGTAGACATTTAAATCCCGGGATCATCCTGATTTCTCAAAATGTATATGTCTATATATAGAAAGTGTGTCCCATGTTAGATGGGTTTCGGACACACGGACAGAATTTGCCATTTATTTATTTAGATTTATTTCAGAATGGTCATAATATGTATTCTCAGTAACTTTTTATAATTATCGTTAATCATATACCCTTATTACAAGTTACAGACTGCCGGATGTTCTACGGAATCTAATGCCTTTTCACAGTCAACTAAATAATTTTGTTTCTATTCTATTCTTTTTCGTTCAGTTGATATGTTTATTATTGGGTAATCATCCTTAAAATATACATGTTCGCGTAAAAGATATAGTATTTGTTTGATTATAAGTCATGTTTACTCTTTTCTTTAGTCTTGATTATTACCTGAAATTTGATGATGTTCACTCAGACTTTATTACGATATGTTTTCTTTATGAGAAACATTTTGTTTCTGTTATACCGGAACATACCTATTCTATTGTTAATAGACTCTCCCACAGATAATAAGTAGTAGTAATAGCAGTCGTCATGGAGCAGAGTCAGTGGAGTTGAGTGAGTCAGTCGATGTCGGACATTAAACTATCAACCACCACAACTAGATTGCTGCGTCATTAACTATTATTTCAAGTTCCTAACGTTTTGTACGTCGAACCTTTTAGGAACGATTTAGTGAAATACAAGCCTCTACTGTGAAAACTACTCTACGACAGTTTCTCTCAGTTTTAAAGTTAAATTTTACTTTTCAAACTACCGATCTGGCGTAAATGCTGAGTGGAACTCCCTCCTTACCAGTGGAATATAAGGGGAATGCGGGTGAGGCGACTCAGTGTATGTGGACTGGCGGGTCCTAGATTTAACTTTGGTACTGGAGAAAATAAGAAATGTAGCTTGCCTGAACATCTGTCTGAATAGAATAGCGAGACTTACAGAGTTTTGTACGTGGAAAAGGGGAGAAGAAAATAATTCATCACCCATAAGGCGGCGTAAATGTTTACTAGCTCTGTCTAGGCTGGGAAATGAGGATTCGGCAGTTCCAGCCTAAACTTAGCAGGAATGCTCTATTTTGATCTGATCTGAAGATAGATCAAGAAAGAGTAAGGTACTTTCTTGATGGTCTAAAGAAAAAGTCATTTTCCCAGTATCTGAGGACTGACAACAGCAGCAACATCGAAAATGGATAGCACATGTACCCCGAAGAGAAAATAAGGGCATAATCAATATGCTAACATTCCTCACTACTTCAAATAAAAATTTATGAAAGAAACCCCCATCACCTGTTTGTCTACTGTCTGTTGGTTTATATTGACCAAAGGCTAGATAGATGACCTGTTAAACCAGCAACAGCAGTCAAATTCAGATGGGGGCTTTTAATTATGGATTTACTTTTTACATACCTTCTCCACAACGAGACAATATAAGACATAGCGAGAAAATCCTGACGGTCGTGGCAGAGAACAGCCATCTTTGAATATTTGAATATTTCAAACTGACGCAACAGAATCACAATAAACTGTACCAGATAACAGAAACCACATCACTTGAGGATTACCAACAGCAGTAATGACTAAAATGGATAACACATGTATGTTGAAGAGAAAATAATGCCATAATCATTGACATTCCACATGACTTCAAACAAAAGATTAGGAAACGCCCCCCCATCAGTTATATAAAGAGCGATAACAGCTACTGTACTTGAAAAACCTGTCTTCTTAGAACATTGTTCTATGAGATAGATTTCATAAATTTCAACCGAAAACAGGCTGCTAGGTCAAAGAATGCCGAAAGTTTCCTTATAAGGAAACGACTAATATAACCATTATCGTTACAAAATTATCCTATGAATCATTGACACTTGTGTCGGGAAAGATCGCAAGTAGAATTCGGTTCATGCCTTTTCACACCAGTCCGTACAACTTATATTCAGTTGGTTATAGACATACATTTATATGGATGTGTTTGTAATGTTTTATACACGGTATTTACTTGACCCCTCACGAGGTCAGGTTGTGACACAAGGTCGGTTTGAGCGAGTACACCCGGTCAAGAAACAAAAATTCCCCGAGCCCCCGCAACTGCCGGTTGCGCTGGCCTCGGTGCGTGCACCGATCCTTTTCTCTAGTGCAATGAGAAGGCGCGGCCTCGGGCAGCTGTTCCTCAGGGCCAGGCACCTCTCAGTATAATTTTCCTCAGTTGCGACTCTGTCCCTTGACGGAGCCGCCCCTGATTGCACTCGGCCCAAAGACAGAGACGCAACTGAGAGATGATAAATAATGTGTACAAATTACTTATAGTAATGTAGACTATAATGTAATGTTGTATACACGCACACAGACAGTGTGTAGCTGCATGTGTATTTGTATTGATGAGGTTGGAAGTGTGTACACAGTTGTCGTATATACAAAGTCGCCTCCTGTCTCCGGTCATAGTATCAGCGAGTACCCTTTGTACCGAGCGAGTCTTGGATGCCTAATGTACATACGCTTAAAAAAAAAGAATTAAAACCTACAGAAGAAAAAGAAAAGAAGAGTTGGATGAAGAAAAGCGAAAGAGAAGAAAGGAGTGTCGGTTGTAGGAGTAAAAGGTAAACACTTGAAGGAGGAGGAGGAGAAGAAGGAAAACATAATGGCGTCGGTGATTGCACCAGAAAAATGAGTTGAAGAGAAAACAAATGTAAGAAATGAAAGGGTTAGAAAGAGAAAAGAACAAATGATAACCGGAGGAAGAGAGGGGGGAATAGAAGAAGGTAAAGAAAGAGAAAAAAGAAGAAAGGAAAGAACAGATTAAAAAAAAATAAGGAAGAGGAAAATAGAAAAAGTAAGAAGAAAGTGAAGGTAAAGAAAATATGAATATAGAATAAAGAAAAAGGAAAAAAGAAAATCCAGAAAGTGAAGAAGAAGAAGAAAAGAAGAAAAGAAAAAGAGGACGAGGAAAAGAGAAGAGAATGAAGTGAGGAGAAAGAGAAACAAAAGAAGAAAGGAAAATTAGAGGGAAAAGAGTACAAAGAAAGGAAAAAAAACAGTGGAAAAGAGAGAGAATACGGCTTAGAGGAAAAAAGAACAAAGAAAGCAGAAGAGGAGGAAGAGATAAAGAGAAGAAAGAAAAAGGGAGGGAAAGATTCAAAGGAAAAGATGCAGGAGAAAATAATTGTTTTCTTTATAATATTTGTTCTAATTATTTGAAAAGCCAATCAAATCTTGTGTCATGGAAATATTTGCTGTTTTTGTTTTTGTTTTTTTGTCAGCAATTGCACTTTCGATAGAATCAAATGATTTAATGTGAAAGGATTTTATGTAAAAAAAAAAAAAAAAAATTTAGCACAAGTCATAAATTCTGTTCTGAATAATATAATTTCAGATACATTGAAATTATAAAAAAAAACAAGTATTTAACAAAATTCAGGTATGAAAGAAAGAAGAAATAAAGAAAGAAAGAAAGAAAGAAAGAAAGAAAGAAGAAATAAAGAAAGAAAGAAAAGAAAAGAAAATAGGAAGAAAAATAAGCGCGAAAGAAGGGAATTAAAGGATAAGAGAAAAAAAGAAAAATATAAAAAACAAAACAAAATAAAACAAAGAAAAAATTACAAAACGAGTGAAGAGAAGAAAAGAGATTGAATGAAAGGAAAATAAAAAAAAAATTAACTGGGTAATAAAAGAAGAAAATAAAAGAAAGAACAGGAATAACAAATAAAGAAAGAAAAAGAAAGAAAGAAAAAAGAAACGAAAGAAAGAAAAAATAAAGAAAGAGAAGAAGTGAAAGAAAGAGAAATGAATATAAAACAAAAAAAAAAAGAAAACAATAAAACAATAAAAAACAATAAGAAATTTAAATGAGTAATAAATGAAGAAAGGAAGAAAAAGCGAAAGAAAAAAGTAAGAAAGAAAAGAGAAAGCAAGATAGAAAAGAAAAGCAAAGAAAGAAAAAACAAAGAAAGAAAAAACAAAAGAAATATGTAAGAAAGAAAGAAAAAAAAGAAAAAGCAAGATAGAAAAGAAGAAAAGAAAAACAAAGGAAGAAAAAACGAAAGAAAAAAGTAAGAAAGAAAAAAGAAAGCAAGATAGAAAAGAAGAAGAAGAAAGAATAACAAAAAAAAGAAATAGAGAATGCAGAAAAACAAATGAGAAAAGAAAGAAAGATAGAAAGAAAAGGTGAAATAAAAGGAACATAAAAAAGAAAAACAGGAGAGAAAAGCAAAAAAAAAAACAATGAAAACTTTAGAAACATCGGCGATGAAGACGAGAATGAAAATATTTCGGCAAATGAAAGTGAAATGTATAAAGAATAAAAAAGAAAGAAAAAAGGTGAAAAAAAACGAAATAAAATAAAAGAATAAAGAAAATTAGAAACAAATGAAAGAAAAGAACAAACAAACAAAACAATGAAAAAGTTGCAAAAGGAAAGAAAGGAAGAGGAGAGAGAGAATAAAAAACATGAAAAATATTTGGAAAAGGAAGAAAAAAGAGAGAAAGAAAGAAAAGAAAGAATAAACAGATAAAAAAGGAAGAAAAAGAGAAATTAAAGAATAAAAACAAAGAAACAAAGAAAAACGAAACAAAATGAGAAACAAACAAAATAATGAAAAATTTTGAACGAAGAATAAAGAAAAAAATGAAAATATGAAAAAATGATTGAAAAAAACGAAAGTAAGAAAGAAAACGAAAGCAAAACGAAGGAAAGAAAAAACAGAAACAAAAAGAAAGAAAGAATGGGAATTAATACAGAAACGATAATAAAATGAAAACAATTTGCAAAACGAAGAATATGGAAGCAAAGAAGAACAGAAATTGAAGGAAAATAAAGAAAGAAAGAAAGAAAGAAAGAAAGAAAGAAAGCGCGAGAGAAAAATGGGGAATGTAAATAAAATATGGAAAACGTTAAAGGATAAAAAAAAGGAAAGAGAAAGGGTCTGCAAATGGAGTAGACAGAGAGTAGAAAGAAAGAAAGAAAGAAAGAAGAAAGAAAGAAAGAAAGAAAGAAAGAAAGAAAGAAAGGAAGAAAGATGGAAACAAAGAATCAAAGAGAAAAGAAAAGAAACAAGGAAAGAATAACTTGAAGCTGTAAAAATATTAGAGAGAGATAGAGTGAAAAAGGCAGCAATTATTCAGAAAAGTCAATGAACAAAAGAAAGAAAGAAAGGATGAAAGAAAGAAGAAAGAAAGAAAGAAATAATATCTATCAAAGGCGATTACATAAATATCAAAAAGCTAGAAGATAGAAAAGAATTATAAGATGCAAATAATAAAAGAAAGTAAGAAATCAAAAATGAAAAGGAAAGGACAGAAAAGATAAGAAAAAAGAAAAGAAGAGGACATAATGTTTTTCCATTGTTGGTTACTGTTATTACATTCAGTGTCATCCTGCAAATCTCGACATCAAAGTGATTTTGCTTCATTATTCTTCGCAGGAACTGCGTCTTTCAGGTCCCCCACCTTTCTACCCGTTCCTCCACACCATCCATTACCTTCTACACACCACTGCCAGCCCTCCTGCACCGACCATTTCTGGCACAAATTCAACGTCTCACCGTGCCACGACAGGGTCGCCATTTTGTTGTTGGCGGACACGACTATTTTCCCGCGAAGAGACAGCTATCAATGGCGGCCATTCGACAATGTATTGACGTTTCGTTTAAATCTGAATAAGTTTTCTGCCAAGTCTCATTATTTCCTGAGTACAGGCCCTGGGTCTGATCTCTAATACTTCCCGCCCCACGTTCCCAAACTTCAAAAATATGGATACACGTTCTTACACAAATGTATCCAACATAAATACACGATGAATGTAATTGATTTGAACGAACGCAAATGTGCAACCGTCACTTGCACATCATATTTTTACTATCTACGCTTTCAGCCATCATATCAATAAAGTCTCGTCTTGATTCGGATACAAAGTAAAGCAAAGTCTTAATTGATTTTAGTCTTATTTCTATCATTCCCCGTCTCCATTGATTTCGAGCAATCGTAGAATAGAGGCCGGAGTATTACAATGAAGAGACGAATAAATCTTCTTTTTACGTGTGCCATGTCCCTTCAGGACATGTAAGATTACGGCTCTCTATTTCTTCCTAATTCCTAGTACATTCGAATTACTCTATGTTGAGATGTTTATCACGTGTCTGATCACGTGTAGTGTTGATTTGGATACGAAGTAAAGCAATCTTAATTGATGCTAATCTTATTTTTATTTTTAAGTCCTGACCGGGCATCTCGACTCCAGTCACTTTCTCACAGAAGTGCTGTGGTATCTCTGTTTTTTCTACAAATATTTTTATGTCAACTGTGCTGACGAGCTACTTTCACTAGTCTTCAACTGCATGAATTTAAGCGTGCTACTAAACTGGCACCTAGTCCCACTTTTTCACGGTCGAAACAGTTAAATGTAAACGCCTCTTCTACTTCAACAGTTTCTTCTCTCGCGCTTCCCAACAGTGGAACTCCCTTCCTCTTACTTACTTCCCTGATAGCTATAATCTCCAAATATTCAAATGTAAGTCAATCGACTTCTTCTTGATCCTGATCCCCGTCTTTCTCTATATCCTTTCCTCAAACACCCCTCTCTTTACTCTTGTTCTCACTCTCTGTAACCCCTTACGTGATAGTGACACTCGCGTTTTGCTTCGAGTGAAATACTTAAAAGAAAATCCCCTCTCCATTGAGTTAGATAATCGTAGAATGGAGGCCGGAGTATTGCAATGAAGAGACGAAAAAAATCTTCTTTTTTCGAGTGCCGTGTCCTTTCAGGACGTGTAAGATTACGGCTCTTTATTATTTTTATTTTTTAAGCATTCCACCCCAAGCAAGGCGGGAAGCCACTAGCACGTAAGGGGTTACAGAGAGTTGGAGCGAGATCAAACAGGAATGATAGAGGAAAGGATGAAAAGAATGTTAATGAATAGATCAGGGTATCTGGAGACGTCGATTGACATTACATTTGAAAAGTTGGAGATTATAGCTATCAGGGAAACAAGAAATGGGGAGGAAGTTCCACAAGCGAGAAGTACATGAAGATATTGGGGTAGAAGAGATGGCTATATTTAACAGTTTCGACAGTGAAAGGGTGAGAGCGAGATGCCAGCCTATTTGAACGATTAAATTCATAGTACATTCAATTTACTCTGTGTTGAGATATTTATCACGTGTCTTATCACATGTCGTCTTGATACGGACACAAAATAAAACAAGGTCTTAATTGATGCTAATCCTATTTCTATTATTTAGGTCCTGACCTGGCATCTCGATTCCAGTCACTTTCTCACAGACGTGCTGTGGCATCTCTGTCTTTTCTACAAATATTTTTATCTCCACTGTGCTGACGAGCTACTTTCACTAGTCCTGAAACTTCATGAATTTAAGCGTGCTACTAGACTGGCATCTTGGTTCCACCTTTTCACTATTAAAACTGTTAAATGTAACCGCTTCTTCTACTCCAACAGCTTCTTCTCTCGCGCTTCCCGACAGTGGAACTCCCTTCCTCTTACTTACTTCCCTGATAGCTATAATCACCAAACATTCAAATTCGACATCTTCTGATGACTTGATCTTGATTCCTGTCTTTCTCTATGACCTTTCCTCAAACACTCCTCTTTACTCTTGTTCTCACTCTCTGTTATCCCTTGCGTGCTAGTGGCACTGGCTCTTTGAGACCTAATTGCCACTCTAGACGGAAGAAATCTTCTTTTTACGTGTGCCGTGTCCCTTCAGGACGTGTAAGATTACGGCTCTGTATAACTTCCTAATTTCTAATGCATTCGATTTATTCTATGTTGAGATGCTTATCACGTGTCTTATCACGTGACTTCCGAATTCAGTTCATTGTTCTTTCCACAGGATTTCATATTTTATTATTTACAAAACCGTTGTTGATAAACTATTCTGAATGTACTAAAATACAATGTAGCTTTCTTGTCCATAAATATTTTCATAGCAATTCTTGTCTATAAATATTTTCATAGCAATTATTCGACGAACTTTCCACTTTGACACTTCGACTTTATAAATTTAAGCATAGTACTGGAGTGGCAATTAGGTCTCATCATTTTACAGTTGAAATTTCTAAATGCAACCGAAATTTCTTTTCTAAAACTCTCCTGTCTCGCCTTATTTTGCTGCTTTAAATGATACAGATATTAAAACAAACAAAAATGTAGTGGAATTATTCTGAAAATTTCTGAAAATTTCTGAAAATATAAACTCCAGAAAAATTTATTCTATACTAAAAGGTTATTTTCTTTTTTATTTGAATATTTAAAATGATAAAAAGGCATATAGTTCCATATTTACAAAAATATTAAAATCAATATTTTTTAAAAATCATTCAAATTCACAAAACGTTATAAGCCAATTAACAAATTAAACTCATGAATTTAAGCATATCACGAAGTCTCATTATTTTACTGTTGAAACTGCTAAGTGTAAGTTCTATTATAATAGTTTCTTCTGTCGCACTTCCTGCCTGTGGAACTCTCTTCTGGCTTCGTGATAATAGCAACAAGTATACGAATAGACCACATGTAAATAATGTTATTCATGATAATATTTAAGCAGGGAATTCAGAGGATTTCTTACAGATTCCTATGTTTCTAATTTTCAATGGCCGCCATTGATAGCTCTTGGCAGGAAAATAGTATTTTGAGTTATTCCACATTCGAATTAATATTTATAGCATCCGTAAATATCGACATGAAGAAGTTTAAAATAATTTTAGAATTGCCATGTATAAATTACGAAATTATATATATATATATATATATATATATATATATATATATATATATATATATATATATATATATATATATATATATATATATATATATATATATATATATATATATATATATATAAAATTTACTAATTTAAAAATATGGTCCCATCGCTATTAAATTAAAATGCTTAGTACTGTTTCATTTTCAAGCGATTTTTTTGTTTTATAAGCACAGACATTCTTGAAATTAGTTGCTAAGGTTATGGGAAATTCAGTCATCTTGATAAGGAAGGGAAGGGTACTCATTTTCATAGACGACATTTTTCTCAAAATATGAGTTACTATTAAAATCAGGATAAATTAAGGTAGATTAAGGGTGCCTGTTCAACAAATGATGACATCCGTTTTTTCGCATGTCGTCTGCTTTTGTGTTTTTTTTAATTTTTTTTCAATGACAGTTTTGGGGCATTTTTATTTGGCCCTTCAATTTATAATTGCATATACAAAGATTTTTTTATTTAAAACGGTTGTTTGAATATGAGTACGTCGTTTTTTTAATAATAAAAATCTATTCCTAAACTTGAATCCCTAATTCCTAATTCTAATTACTAATAGACTATACGATTTTTAAACAAATAAATATACTAGAATTACTTTCTTATTTAAAAATTATTTTTCAAGAATTGTAGTGAGTGTTGACCACTGTTTTTTTTAGAACATAAAAAATAATTAATAAGAACACCAGATTATAAATCTTACTGTTCTTTCTCATCATTTTATATATATATATATATATATATATATATATATATATATATATATATATATATATATATATAGTTGTATATTTAGGCAGCATCCTTTGTTTATGCATGTTTCATTAAAAACGACAGACAAGGTACTACGGTTAAGCTTTTGACTTAATTTTTTCTTGTGCTTTCTTTTCTGGACAAACGGTGTGTGAAAACTGCCCAAATGTTTTATAATTCCGAGCGCTTTCGGCTATACCTTTAGCCATTATCAAGGATGATTTGATTTTTCAGCTTAATTGAGTGTGTGCATTATGTGTATGTCTTAGTGTGTACTAGGGATGTTTTAATTTCCGAATATGGTTAGCACATTGTGGCCTTGTTCGTAGTTAATATTGTTAAGAGTTGGCTCTTTCTTTTTTTATTATTAAACCTTCCATTATTTTTAATCATTTTTTACAGGTGGATGCAGTTAATATATTTATGTTTTCTACTAGTATGTTTCCAATGGAGTCTGGTAAGTTTGTGTGTGTGCTTAAATGGGTTCTAATGGAGCTGTGATCAGATAGGTGTAACGTAAGGCGTCTGGATCAAAACATTTCGAAATAAATGAAGATTTAAAAGTGGTAATAATATTATTTTTATAATATCGTGCTAACAATAATAACAATAATAAAATAAACTACCATAGAGAATAATAATAATAATAATAATAATACCAATGAGAGGAATAACGGAGTCATAATGAA